TAATTTGTGTTTGTGAGTTTCAATTGTTTTCCTGGACGGCATCACTCAATGCACCCAAAACAAAAAATGATCTTGCAACTTCTGCTTGTATGACAGGTTAGCATTACCTCGAGTTTGATAGTTTTTCTCTCTTAGACACGGGACTTCTGTTTCTGCATGTTTACAGTTACATTTTATCCTGCAGATATTTAATGGTGTGCTTCTCAGAGTGAACAAGACAACTACAAACATGTTGCATGGGGTTGCGCCATATGTGACTTATGGGTAACGCTGAATTTTTCTTCCCCTATTTATGTCTTGGTACAGTTGCATTGCTTCGGCTAAATGAGCTTGAGCTACTTGGGTTGGTCAAAGAAAACCAAATGTTAGTGGCTAAAGAAGAAGCCTTAATTTGAGTTTCAATAGTCCCTTGTCACCCTCCCCTCCATCCCTTTACAAAAAGAAACGTCCTTGTCCACTTGTTCCTTGTCTCAAGTCACCCTTACCCCAAAGCTTTATTTAGTTGTAGAAAACAGCTGTGAATTTTATTTTCTAAATTCATGTATCTTCTTATGCAAAAATATTTATAGTTGAAATTGTGACACAAATGTTTATAAAAATAAGAAAAAGTTTTTTTATTAATAACCCAAGCTATTTTGTTTTCATTTGCAACAAGAATATACGTGTTTTAGAGTGTAAAAACATTTATAAAATGAAAACTCAAAACAGTTTTGACAACTAAACGAGCCTGTAAATATTTTAGAACGTAAACACCTACGAATTTACAAAATGAAAACTCAGAACAGTTTTGGCAATCAAACAAGCCTATTAATTTTTTCAGAGCTTCCGTATTTTGTTTATTCTGCCTGCACTCAATGGGTGTTAATTCACATGAGGGATTATGGAAAGCTGGACAGCATTTTGGATTTGCACTGACTGCAATGTTATCATCCAACTTGATACTCTGGCATGTTTTACAGGCCTTGGAAAATATGAGAAAGTTCAAATGGAAGAGCTGATTCACGAGATTATGACTGTTGGCCCTCACTTAAATAAGGTAAACAACTTTCTTTGGTCGTTCAAGCTGAGTGCTCCATCTCGAGGTTTAACAAAAAAAAAAAGATACCATTATGTAGAAGGTGGCGATGTTGGCAATTGTTATTACATCATCGAGCCGAGTTTGAGGATGAATTGGTTACTTGGGCGTTTAGTTAGACTTGCCATTTGGATTTGCATTCTAAGGACATCATTCATACTGAGGGTTTTTCTTCTCAGTCAAGACTTCTTAGGTCTCCATTTTCTGCTTCCCTGAATGGAACATTTACCGCTGTTACAAAATTTCTTCTTTTAAATTTTC